TTTTCCAAAGTGTAGTTTAGAGTTTGTGCGTGATTTTAGACTATAATTTTGTCATTTTTTGTTTCATCTTCATTGACTTACATTCCTCCAAATTCGGCATATCAAAGCTGAAAATTTTCTGTTTTTCGGCTTTTCTTGAATTTTGTGAAATTTTAAAACATGCATATCTAATTTGTTTGAAGTCGGATTATCATGAGGTTTTTTTTTTGCAACATGTAGTTTAGAGTTTGTACATGATTTTAGACTAGCATTTTGTCATTTTTGGTTTAATATTAAATGACTTACAGTACCCCAAAGTTGGGATATCGAAGCTAAGAGTTTTCAAAGTTCATCCCACTAAGTAATTACCAAAAAATTATGGTTTTCCCGAGTTTTCCGATTCTAGACCCACTTTACCCGGTTCTACCCGACCTATTTTGATGTTTTCGGGTTTTCTGGTTCTAGACCAACTTTACTCGGAACCGAACCGGTATCGATTCCTATATACAGGTCCTATAAAATCTCGTTAACCGGTTCCTGGGTTTTCTGGGTTCGGGTCTATCCGAGTTGGGTTTGGGCCCACTTTATCCCTAGTACTACGTGCATAATTTCAACAATCTTAACAATATTCCAATTAGAATATTTTTATATGAATATAATTATATGGAATATTTTTATAAGATATTACTATGTGTACATTTTCAAAATGAGACACCCCTGACATTAGCAAAAGAAATAATGTTTTCTTTTAAAAATATTATGTCATATTAAAAATCATCAAAGCGGAATTAGGTCCTTGAACTCAATTAAACAGGTTAAGTTAAAAACTTTATAGTATTCTAAATACAATGGTGGTCAATCAAATATCATTACAAAAGTTTGATTGAACCATAACAAATTATGGACTTCTAAACAAACTCAATCATTCTATAACCATGCACTTCATCTCCATATACGAGTATATGTTAAAATAATAATATTGGACTTCAGGAGCCTCGTGAGTAATACCATAATTAGACTTTTGTATGGAATTGGGTGCTATACCTTCCAAACTATTAATTATATAATCGCTCAAGTCTCGAAAAATCTAAAAACCAACCCATCATATATGATGCACATAAGGATGCTCACATAATTTTCCAATCAAATAGAATATGTTTTCCATTAAAATATGTTCTAAAAGAACTTCATGTAATGCAAAAACATATATGAATGCCACATATCCATATAGTATTAAAAAAAAATAAAAACATTCCAAACATACTGATACTGGGACATATATTATGGGTATATAGACGCCTTATCTTATAGAAGCTACTAATCCAACTGAAAATGGTTGAGTGCTCAACATCAACCTATATAAGTATATACACTTGTCATTTAAGTTCTATATTGAGCTCTTGGTAACCCCATGCAACTTAACATATTATCAACTATTTATGTTAGTTACCTTTCAAGAATAAAAAATGGAATTGGTTTGGGGTCAAACAGATAAGCCAAACTGAAGTGATCAGAAGTTGTATATTTTTAACAAAAAGCCACATGGATTGGGAAAAATTACACTTGGCTTGGGGAAAATCCGCATGGCTTAGGGGAAAATCCACTTAGCTTAGGGTTTTCAGTTTATACCTGATATGACTTTATTTAACTATATATTTTTTGTCATTATCTTAATATACTTGATTAAAATGTTATATTTTAAGATATATGATACTTAATATGCTTTGAAATGTTCATTTACAGTTAAAATCAGATTTGGGATGCAAAAAGGAAGAAAACGAAGCTGAAACCGGCGAAAAACGACAAAAGCACGAAAATTAGCTAAAGACGTGCTGCACCCTTTAAAAGACGCGTCGCCCCCCTTCAGCAAAACAAAAAAATTCGAATTTCCTTCATACGCAAGTTTACGTGTTCTTGTGCAATAAGGAACTCGATCACCACGTTGTGGTGAGACCTTTACCACATCATGGCGTTGCAAATTTATAAATATAAGAGTTTTGTAGCCTTCGGATGCTAACTTACAACAACTTGTGGAGCTAGTTATTTGACGATTCCAGACATTTTTAAGAGTTGAAGAACACTCGAACAACAACTCATGTATAAGATTAGTTTCCAACATCTAGACCTGAGTTGTCACCAAACAAAGATATAGTTACTTATTCTATATTCATACACTAATTGCATTTTAATCTAAAAATTAAAAAAATCTCCTCAATCTCATTGGCCATATTTATATATTCTCGGACCATCCATGATAAATGTTGAATGAACATATTTGCTTAATATTTGTTGAGGAGTTCAAATAGCACATTTTGTGTGTATCAATTCGGGACTACCTCATGTATCCGAGTCATTTCCCACTTATGCAACCGTCATGTGTGTAAGGACTTCCAAAAACTAAATTTTCTTAGTTTGGTAACAACACAAATGTCATAAAACCTAAAAAAAATTACAATATTTTATTAGCAAATTCGTAGATCTCATTCCTCAACAAAAAAAATTGACTGATAAATGTCATTTTTACAGATGTCATCTACGAAAATGACACTTCTTAAGATTTTTTTTTTAAACTAAGAAGTCATTGTCACAGTCTCACAGATGACATCTACGAAAATGGCATTGCTCGACAAAAACTTGACTGGTAAATATTACTTTCGTAGATGTCATATCTGAAAATGGTTTTTCTTAGTTTTTTTTTTTTTTTTTTTTTTTTGCTAAAAATAGTCACATATGATATTTACGAAAATTATTTGTTTCTCAACAAAAAAAAATTAAGCTTAAATAAACAAAAACATGATAACAAACTTAAAATACCTGAAAACATGGTCTTTGAAATAAACATAACATTGAGAGAATTTTTATTATTCATTTTTTTTAACAAGATGAGGCCTTTTTTTTAGTTAACACGAGTAAAAATCATAAAAAACAACATTATTTTGATGATTTTGCAGATGTCATACTTTTTAGATGTTATCTGCAAAATTCATAGCTATTTTGATGATTTGATAATATTTTATTAAATATTGAAAAGTGAATGATGTAATTAGACATGTTTTTTTTTCCACGAAATTTTAATCTAAAATTACTATACAATTGGTATAAAGTTATAAGCCCTATATAATTGATGTTTATACATTAAGTTAAAAAAATCTTATTATCATAAAGTATCTTAGATATTTGATACTAAGTAATGACATATTTAGTTTGGAATTATATTGAGTTTTTATTTGAGTTATTGTTCTATAAATTCTTTTTGAGAAAATTACAAATATAACCAAAACCGATAATTACTTTGTAGAAAATAGTCAAAAAAAAATCCAATTACAAAAATAGCCTGCAAAATTGCAGATGGACTAAGTCCATCTGCGATTTGACAAAGCCATCTGCGAACGTACAAGTCGCTAAAGCACATTCATGTTTTAGCGACTTGTACGTTCGTAGATGGACTAGTCTATCTGCTATTTCACATTCTATCTGCGATTTCAGCTTTTTCGCAGGTATAAAAACGTAAATTTTTTAGTTTGTTTCAGTTTTCACACTTTTCGTTGAAGAATTCTTTCTCTGAAAGCACTATGGACGATTTGACAAAACTAATATTAATTCATTTTATTAAAAAGATTTTAAACAATTTTTTTCAAAGAAATTACAACAAAAGTGATAATTTTTTGCAATAATTTATATATAATATGATTGTTTCATAGTCAAAAAAAAATCATCTGTGAACGTACAAGTCGCTAAAGCACGGATGTGCTTTAGCGACTTGTACGTTCGCAGATGGCTTGGTGAAATCGCAGATGGGCTTAATCCATCTGCGATTTTGATGGCTATTTTTATAATTTGGATTTTTTTGTTATTTTTACAAAGTAATTAACTATTTTAGTTATATTTGTAATTTTCTCATTCTTTTTTCCTTTGTAAAAGTCTTTGACTAAAGAAAATTCGAAGTCAAAGTACAAAGCTTAAAAAAGCATAATGTTTGCTAGTTTCATAATCACAATAGACTTTTATTAACAAAAACTTCTTAACCCCATTTGTATTTCCATAAGTATAATTGACTTTTGCATCCAACACTTTTAATAACTATTATTATTAAAACTTAAAAGTGTTTATTGAATTTTAAATTATTGTAAATGAAAGTGGAGGGTTAAAATGAATTAAAAATAAATAAATAAATAAGAGAGTCAGTAGGGTGTTGGTTAAAATAAGCCAAGAGTCATACCACTTGGTGGACCTCATGATATTTTTTTCAAGATAAAAACCAGGAAAAAAAGAAAAATAAGAAAAGTGTTTTTGAAGTTCGCATTGTGGAGTTAATAGCTACAGCACCAGAAAGAGTCAATGGCACACACACAAATACACACAGTAGTAGGTCATCATCAACATCAAAATCAATCATAGAGAGGTATGTTTTGAAGTAAATGAGCAATTGATCTGGTGGGTTTGCTTGAATTCAGTCTCTCATCTTGTTAAAATTGGGGGGTTTTTGAAGATATCTTGATTCTGAAATTAGGGTTTTTTCTTCCCCCTTTGACCCGTCTTCTTCCTTCGTTCTGGATCTAGGGTTTTGATTTTACCTTTATGTTCTGCGTCTAGGGCTTGGAATTTTCTTGAATCTTGATTCGAGGAGGGTCCTTTTTTCTGGGTTTTATAAAATCCATTGTGGGGTTTTTTTTGGCTTTATTATCTCGTCTTTCCTGTTCTTCGTGATATTTCTGTAGACAGCTGCATTGACCTTTCTATTGTTGAGATTTTTTTTCTTTTCTTGTTTTTCTCAAATTTCAACTTGTTCTTCTCTGACATTTCCTCTTTGATTTGTGTTCTTCATTTGGAATTGGGGCTTGATTTGTGTTGACCGAATTAGGGTTTTTAAGATAAATTATTCGATTTCGAATGTTGGAAAGTTGATTCCCTTTTGCTTTTATTCGGAAGTGGAATTAGGGTTTGGCTTTATGTGTAAATAAGCCAACTTTCCTTTTTGAAAACTCAGATTGATTAGCTTATGAGCTCATAAACCTGCTTTGATGCATCTTTCACTATGGAAACCAATTTCTCACTGTGCCTCATTGATCTTGGACAAGAAAAGCAAAAAGAAAAATGGTTCCTCTGATCACAATTCCTCAGATGAAAACAAGAAAAACCCATCTGTTCTTCGAAGATTACAAGAACACAAACTCAGAGAAGCTTTAGAAGAAGCTTCCGAAGATGGATCCCTTATTAAATCCCAAGATATCGACTCCGAATCTGCAGTCAACAACAACAATAATCAAGATGACAACGGCCTCGGAAGATCTCGATCTCTCGCAAGACTCGAAACCCAAAAGGAATTCCTCCGAGCAACTTCCCTCGCCGCCGATCGAACATTTGAAACCGATGATTCCATCCCCGATCTCCATCAATCATTCAACAAGTTCCTCACCATGTACCCAAAATACCAATCCTCAGAAAAAATCGATCATTTAAGGTCAGATGATTACTCCCATCTCTCAGAATCCATCTCAAAAGTCTGCCTCGATTACTGTGGATTCGGTTTATTCTCTTTCCTTCAAACGGTTCATTACTGGGAGTCGTCAACATTCAGTTTATCAGAAATCACCGCCAATTTAAGCAACCACGCCCTGTACGGCGGCGCTGAAAAAGGAACAGTCGAACACGATATCAAAACCAGAATCATGGATTACTTAAACATCCCAGAAAGCGAATACGGACTTGTGTTCACAGTAAGTCGAGGCTCTGCTTTCAAACTTCTCGCTGAATCTTACCCTTTTCACACAAACAAAAAGCTTCTCACCATGTTCGATCACGAAAGCCAATCTGTTAACTGGATGGCTCAAAGCGCAAAAGAGAAAGGCGCAAAAGTTCAAAGCGCGTGGTTCAAATGGCCGACTCTTAAACTCTGTTCCACCGATTTACGTAAACAAATCTCCAACAAAAAGAAGAAAAAAAAAGATTCAGCTGTCGGATTGTTTGTTTTTCCAGTCCAATCAAGAGTCACCGGAGCAAAATATTCATATCAATGGATGGCATTAGCTCAACAAAACAACTGGCACGTGTTACTAGATGCCGGAGCTTTAGGCCCAAAAGACATGGATTCCCTCGGGTTATCTCTATTCCGACCCGATTTCATCATCACTTCTTTTTACCGGGTTTTCGGGTTCGACCCAACCGGATTCGGATGCCTTCTCATTAAAAAATCCGTAATCCGAAGCCTCCAAAATCAATCCGGTCACGCCGGATCCGGAATAGTCAAAATCAGCCCGGTTTTTCCTTTGTATTTGAGTGATTCCGTCGATGGGATTCCGGGTTTGGCCGGAACCGGAATCGAAGACGACGACATCGGAAACGGCGATTCCGTTTCCGAAACCCGACCCGGCCCGCAATTACCCGCGTTTTCCGGGGCTTACACATCGGCCCAAGTTCGTGAAGTGTTTGACACGGAAATCGAGGCGGATAACATCTCGGATCGAGATGGAGCGAGCACGATTTTCGAAGAAGGTGAAAGTTTTTCGGTTGGTGAAGTGATGAAAAGCCCGGTTTTTAGTGAAGATGAATCATCGGATAATTCGTTATGGATTGATTTGGGTCAAAGCCCGATAGGGTCCGATTACGGTGGTGGCCCGGTCAACAAAGTCAAAGGGTCAACGTCTCCGGTCCCACCGTTTTGGTTCACGGGTCGAAACAAAAACAAGAATTTATCGTCTCCTAAACCGACTTCAAAGATCGCGAATAGTCCGGAAATGAATCACGGGCTTCAAGAATCGCGAATGTTATCGTTTGATGCGGCTGTAATGTCGGTTTCTCAAGAACTTGATCGGATTAAAGAAGATCCTTCAGAAATCGAAGCAAAAAACACTCCAAATTTTCATGAAATTGAAGAGGAAGAGATGGAAACGAGCAAATGGGATAACGGGTCGAGTTCAAAAATGACGAAAGAGAGCGCGATTCGAAGGGAAACGGAAGGGGAATTCCGGTTGTTGGGAAGGCGGGAAGGGAATCGGTTTTCCGGTTCCCGTCTTTTCGGGGTGGACGAGAGCGGGACCGATTCCGGAAGTAAAGGGAGACGGGTTTCGTTTACTATTGAAGAAGAGGGCAAAAACGTCTTTTTACCCGGGAATGGTGAAGACGATGATGAGTATATTACGGATGGTGATTACGGGTCCGGAATGGAATCGAGTAGACGTGAGCCCGAGATTTCATGTAAGCATCTCGACCATGTCAACATGTTGGGCCTCAATAAAACGACTCTTCGGTTACGGTTTTTGGTCAATTGGCTTGTGACTTCACTTCTTCAATTACGGATTCCGGGCCCACACGGGTCAAATGGGTCAAACGGGTCGGATAGTGTCCCATTGGTTTGTATATATGGGCCGAAAATTAAATATGAAAGGGGTGCTTCGGTGGCATTTAATGTAAGGGACAGAAAAAAGGGGTTAATTGACCCGGAAATTGTTCAGAAATTGGGGGAGGTGAATGGGATTTCTCTTGGAGTTGGGATTCTTAGTCATATAAGGGTATTGGAGCGTGGGGGGCAAAATGGGGATTTGACACTTTGCAAACCGATGGAGAATGGAAATGGAGGAGGAGGAGGAGGGCAAAATGGGAAAAGTGGGTTTATTAGGGTTGAAGTGGTGACGGCATCTTTGGGGTTTTTGACGAATTTTAGCGATGTTTATAAATTATGGGCTTTTGTTGCCAAGTTTTTGAATCCGGATTTTGATAAAGATGGAGGGCTATCGACTGTTGTGGAAGATGAAGATGAAGAATAAAGAAAGAGATTGTTTTTATTTCTTTTTTTTTTTTCATTATTCTTCTTTTGGGATGTAATTTGTTCATTCTTATGGTTTTCATTTGCTTTTGTGGTTTTTGATTTCGATCTTGTTGGGGTTAAATGTTAATGTTATCGTAGAGTTTTAATTTATATCGGTTTAAACTTTATGATAAGGTTAAAATTGTAAAATCCAATGGACGAAAATGCCCTTCTCTTTGGTAACTTTTGACATATTGTTACATGGTTTTTGATTGGATGGATGCCATTATTTTTTGTGTGTAAAAATGAAGAAGGATTTGGGTAGTGTGGGATTTGAAAGCAATTTGATGTGGAAGTTGTACAATTATATATTATAAGCTTTAATAATATAAGAGGATGGTGGGCCATGGCGTGTTTGCCATATAAACGATAGTGCTATGTGCATTCATGATTGGAGTACTATTCTCCCACTCATGTAATCAAACATTGATACTTTTTGGTTTAAAGAATTTTGGAATCTAGTTTTCTTACAAATTTATTTTTTTCTAATCTAATATTAGGTTATCTTTTTTAGGTTGGTTAAAAAGTCAGCTGTTGTTAGCTGATAAACTAACTAATAAAAATTAAAAGTTAGTAAAAACTAATACATAAGTTTTCTAAAAAATGTAAAATGAGTAGAAGGCTAGTTAAAAAATAAGCTAGATAAGCTGACTAATAAAAAATCCAAAGTTGGTAAAAACTAATGTAGAATAACATAATGATATGAAGAAGGATGCATTTCATTAAATTAAAATAGGTATCAAATATCAATCCTCCAATTAATCATGTGTAAGTAAAAAAATTTAAATCTCATATCGTATTCATAATATTATCATGAATTTCTCGCATCTAATGGTATGATTCTCGAATTTTATCATAACTTTTGTTTAGTTAATGTAATTTATTAAATATTCATATAAAACCGAAGTAGTTTTCTAATAAAATTTATTATAAAAAATGTTTCTGTCGAAATATTTAAATTGACATAAATATCGTACAAAAAAAATCAATTTTGTTTTTTTAACTGTAAGAATGATTGTATATAATGATTAGTTGTTCATGTACTTAGTGAATTTGAATAGTATTTGGAAGATAATAAATAAAATGAACAAAATAATATTTTTATATATGGTTGAAGGTTAGTTTAAAATATGTTAATATATATCATCGACCAATTATAGTTTGATTAAATAAATTTGTATTTTTTCAACCTTACAAGGTCAATCATTTTCAATTTTTTCTTAACAAAATTATTACAAGGAATATTTTTGCAACCTACACTTGTAAAAGGTCATCATTTTTCTGTTTTACTTAACAAAATTATTACAAGGAAAAGATCGATGAATATTATAAAAAATATGATAAAAATGATGAATAATTAGCTATGTTCTTTTAGTAAATGGTATATCCAAAAGAGTTTAAAAAAAAATCATAAGATCGATGAAAAACTTGTATAACTATAAGTAACTTTTTAAAAAATTGATTTATAAATGTTTTCATATAAGATTATAAGTTATTGTAACTTGAAGAACCAAAATAAAAACAAGAAAGGTGAGTAGTTCTACATTTATAATAATGTGTCTCTTTCGACTTCTTGCATGCTTCTTAAATCTTGATCTTTAAACAAATTAAATATCAAAACAACTTCTAGAAGATTGATTATTGTGACTCAAATCCATTGCTTTCATGTCATGAAAAATGATGTTTAGAGTATTTTTGATGAAATAACACTTAAATGGAGTTAGATTGGGACAATGACTTAATTAGATAGTAGAGTCAAGAGTGCGTCCTTAAATGGAATTAGATTGGGATAATCAATAAATTAGATAGTAGAGTGAGTCCTTATATTTCACGTTTTATTTATTCAAAAAATTAATGAATTTTTTTACTAAGCTTTTATACTACATAGAAATGTATCGTAGATGCGATAGGGTTGTTTCATAATTGTTGATTGAATTAGATCTCATTGAACCAAAGTGTGTTAGGTAAGACTAAACTTTGAATCTAAACAAATATGAGTCATTTTATAGCAGGCATGAACGAATGAGAAGTTTCTAAGTGTTCTATCAAACAATCTAAATTTGATCCTATCAACCTTCGTATCTTAATCTCAATAAAAGGCATGTCAAACAATCTCTATTAATTGTTGAATTTTTATTTAAAATAACAAAAACTCATCCAAATACCAAGCACTATATTTTCTTTTATTTTTAAAAAATTACACTTCGATTAAAATCATTATTTTCATAAAAGAAATGTCCTTGAAAATTACATAAATACAAACATAGCAAATTTCCATTTCATTCCATAAATGAAAAAACAATAAACAATTTAGCTAGGTAATAAATTTACAAAGAAAATAGCTTCTTTTTTTTTTGTATTTCTCTACTTACTTTATGGTGTTGAGAATAAATAATTTACAAATAAATAAAGACTGATTTTTTGCTTTAATCATAAGAAGGCATGAGTGGCCTTATCAATTCTTTTAAGAATCGTAGTTATTATTATGATGGAATGTCACTTTATTTAAAAATAAACCAAGATACCAAGCTAAGTATATCACCACATATTGCAACTTTAACAATAAAAAAGATCGACATAAAGTAAAAAAACATATAAAATAATGGAGACATGTTTGACAAATGATCTCTTCCTACATTATCTTTTCTAAAAAAGAAATCTTTAATTACATGGTGACAAAATTCCGTTGACCAACTCATGATAAAGCTTCCCCAAAAAGTCAACCTTTTGGTTAATCTTTTAAGAATCCATTATTTTTAATAAAAAAGCAGCTTCTAAAGCCGATTCTTTACATTGTAAATATCTATTTTCTTCAACTAAATTTGTTGTTAAATTCAAAAGAATCGGATGATTTGGATCATATATTGTTCTTTCACGTACCCTTGCAACCCATTTTGCAGCTTCCCATACTCCAAATCTTAAAATTTAACAAATTAAAAAAAAAATTATATTTCTATAAATATATATATATATATATTATATATATATATATATATAAGAGAAATAAAGAAAAAGACAAATATAGTCATACAAGCTTTTCGTAAAATAACCACCAATTTCTTCGAATTTTTTAGACTTCTCATTTTAGACTTTTTTTTTTTTTTTTGAAAATATGTTTTCTAAAATCCCCACAAAAAAAAGATAAAAAGTTATGATTTTCACTAACATGAACAGTTTCACGGCATCCAAAGATTCTTTTCAAATATCAGAAAAAAAAAAAAGATTAATCTCAAAAAAGACCTTATATTTTGTGTTTTTTTCAGATTAAACCTTTGAATTTATTTTTGCCTGAAAAAGACCTTGTACTTTTTCATTTATTCCTAAAAAGCCCTCAACTTTGTATTTTTTTTCCGGAAAAAAACCCTCAACCTTCTAAATGCTTCCAAATAAACCCTCAACTTTTTTAGTTTTTCTCGAAAAAACCCTCACATTTTACAAATTTTTTTGGCAAAAAATGACTAAAAGGGCCAAATCTGAAAAAATACAAGGTCTTTTTCAGACAAAAAATAAATTTGAGGTTTAATCCGGAAAAAAACACAAAATATAAGGTCTTTTTGAGATTCACCCTAGAAAAAAAGGTTTATTTAAAGCAAATTACGAAATATATTAAAAACCAATTCAAAATTGGAGGTTATTTTGGAATTTATTTACTTTTTGGCTATTTTTGTGTTAATAGCTCATAAAAGAATAATAATAATAAAAAAAAAGATTGGAATTTAACCTTGTATTAAAAGAAGAGCTAACCAAAACCGCTGGATAAAGAACACCATTTTGAATATTCTCATAGGGGCAAAATCGTCTTATTGCTTTAAAGTCATCAATGTCTCCAGGGTATCCGAATTCTTCATAGTCAGCAGGAGTAAGTGGTAGAATAGGGTGGACAAGAGTGTTACTCGGATCTAAAAATGGAACCTAACAAACAAAATAATTATTTTTTTTTTTTTAAAAAAAATTAATGTTTTTTTTTAATGAATAAAAAATTATTTACCTTTAAAATAGCGGCGCGAAATAATTGTGGAGAGAAATTAATAGCTGAAGCAATTAAGAGGCCTCCAGCACTATATCCCCAACCTGCTAACTTATTTTGGTGTATAATTTTATTATTAATTAAAAATTTTGCACATGAAATATAATCATTAATTGAATTATGTTTTTTAATGCTTCTTCCATCTTCATGCCATTTCTTTCCTCTCCCACCTCCACCCCTGAAAATACAGTAAAATTATTTAAAATAATAATAATAATAAAGTTTTGTTTTGGGTTATATACTTATATACAGTAAGAATTTTTTTTTTTTATTAAAAATGTTATAATTGGTAAATTTTGAAAGTAGAATTTTTTTATGAAAAGTACAGTTTTTAAATGTTAGTTTTTTCGAGAAAAAGACCTTTGTATTTTTTCATTTTTTCAATTTGGCCCTTTTAGCAGCTACTTTCCAAAAAAAACTTGTCAAATGTGAGGGGTTTTTCAGAAAAAAGAGGGTTTTTTTGGAAGAAAATAAATAAATAAATTGAGGGCTTTTTTGGAAAAATGGAAAAATACAAGATCTTCAAGAAAAATAATAATGTTAATCCAGAAAAAACTCAATATATAAAAGGTCTTTTATGATATCAACTCTTTTTCAAAGTAAAATAAAAATGTGTTGTTTCTTTCATTTATCCCTTTTGTTATAATCTCATCTCCCCTATATAAATATATTAAAAAACAATATTAATTAGAGTAAATTACACGAGTGGTCCCTATGGTTTGGGGTAATTTGCACGTTTGGTCCCTAACTTATTTTTTTAACTCGAAAGGTCCCTACTGTTTGTTTTTGTTGCACGCTAGGTCCCTGTCTTACCTAAAAATACTATTTTGCCCTTGATTTTTTAATTTATTTAAATAACCACACCTCCAATCCCACTTCCACCTCACATTACCGTACCTTACCTAACCCACCTTATTTAATTATATTAAAAAATCAAGGGCAAAATAGTCCTTTTAGGTAAGATAGGGACCAAGCACACAACAAAAACAAATTGTAGGGACCTTCCGAGTTAAAAAAAATAAGTTAGGGACCAAACGTGCAAATTACCACAAACCATAGGGACCATTCGTGTAATTTACTCTATTAATTATAGAAGAAGATTTAATAAAAAAACTAACCTAACATCAGCATATGCAAGAATCCAACCACGATCAAGAAGACTTTTTGACTCATTACACCATTTTTTATCAAGCAATTCACCATAAGCACCATGTCCATGAAGCAATCCAGGATTTTCACCTTCTTTTTTCCTTTTATGTGAATAAACAATAGTCAAACCAACTTTGACTCCATCACTAGAAACCACTTCATGACTTTCACAACCATAAAACTCAGAAAGATCATTCCATGAATATGACTCCCCATCTTTATTACTACTTGATTTTTTATCCATTGTGGGTCCCACAGAAGAAGCTGTACCATATAAAACACGCGTTCTTTCTTGAAGCAGGTTTTGTTGTTGAATGATTTCAAATTTCCCATTTGATAAATCATAATCAACAACTGCATCAGGCATCTGAAAAGAAACACACAGATCATCATCATCATCATCATATATGTAAGGGCTTTTTCGTCATAAAAATTTAACATAAACATACCACAGGTGATGAAATTGTAAATCGCATGATTGGTGAATAAAAGTCATAATTTGGTCCAGGTGAAATCTGGGAAACAGATTCTGGAAGAGGAAGAAAATGTAATCCCAGCTCTTTAAGATGGAACACATCCTGTTAGACAAAGGGCAAAAAGGTCTCAAATTTTAATACCCAATAAACAAAAATAACAAAATACGAAATATGAATTATCATAACATTAATAAAACCTTATTTCTTGGGAGAGGCAATGCAACTGAACAAAGTCTGAATCTTTCACCTTCTTTAACAATAAGCACCAAATGTGAGTCACAAAAGTCAACATCCTCAATCACCAAGTCATTGTCATCAATAAACACATTCTGTAACATTTAAAAAAAAAGGTAAAAAAGAAAGTCTTTTTTTTCAATTAAGAAAAAACAACATATCTCAAAAGAAAGTCTAACCTCCCACTTTCTTGGACTTGAAGAGTGAAGAGGGCTACGAAGGATATAATGGTAATTTACCGAATTCCCTTCTTTGTTAGCATTAGTAAAAAGATAAAGATAGCCTTGATGATGCTCGATAATGCAATGTGCACAAGCTTCACATTCCCACACGAGTGTTAAACCAGAGAGAGGATCAGCTGCATTGATCAGAAAAACCTAAAGAATTTGAAGTTTGAATGATTCTTGAAAGAAAAATCAATGAAATAAAACAATTAAAAAGCTAGTATATAATAATACCTTTGAATATGTGGTTGAAAACACATAAACAGTCACAAACTTAAAATCCTTTGTATGTCTGATGTTAACATGCACATTTTCTTCAGGTTCTTCTAAGAGTATCATATCTTCATCCTTTGATCCAAGCATGCTACAATATATCCTAAAATCATACAAGAAATATAAAAAGTTTGAATTAAATAAGAGATATAGAAATTAGAAAAAGTTGTATATACTTATATAGGATACCTGTAGGGCTTCTTTTTTTGATCAGTGACAACATATAGCAATGCTTGACCCCCTTTAGCCCATGCCACATTACAGACCCAATCAGCTTGTGGCTTGCTACAAAGAGAACCTAAATTCAAATCTCTCACACATAATTTGAAGAAATCGTTGTCTTTGTCATACATGGTGTATGCAATGAACCGATGATCAGGTGAGACTTCTGATACCTCTTCGTATGCATAACCTAAATCAAGTCATGTTAAGAGATTAAATGAAGTGGAAGAGAATCAGAGATCGTTGAGAGATGTTGAAATGATATTGGAATTGGAATTGGAATTACCCCCAAATCTTTCTGCTTCTTGATTGTAATCGATGAGTTTTTGTTCAATCCTCTTCCCGGAGATGAAATCGAACCCACCTGTTGGACTTTTATGTGAAATGAACTCTTCGTTTAAGCTAGCTAATCTCCTACAGAGTACTGGATATTGTTTCCCTTCCTCCACTCTCCTGTAATACAACCTGAATTCCACCTCCAAATTGCCAAAGAAGAACACAGAATTTGAATTCGGATCCAAAAGAATTCAACAAACTTCAGATGAAGTGCAAATGGAAATTGAAGGTACCAGGGCCCCCAGCGAAATGGAGGAGTGGAGAGATGAGAAGACATGCGAGATGCCATTTCTGATTGGAGTTTGGATTGGAGGCGATCGGTGTCTGCTAAAACAGCTTCAGTGTACTTCTCTTCTTGCTCCATATACACGTCCATGTGACGCATCGCTACTTTATCGTTGAGATTGGACATCCAGCTGTAAGGATCTTCCCACGTGTGGTCATGGAGAGTGAAGGTGGCGGGTTTTTGTGGTGGCTTTGGGGGTGTTGGTGGTGCTTGTGGAGGCGGTGGTTTATGGGGTTTGTAGTGGGCTGAGGCCAATCGAATCGAGAAAGAGGGGTTCAGTCGACGGAGGAGACAACGCTTTTTGTGCCTGAGAGCTGTTAAGAAATGACGCATGGTGGCGGAGAAGACGCCGGCGATGCTACCGGAGAGTTTTAGGGTTTAAAGGGTTTTGCGACTTGTTTTGAAAGTTAAAATGGTATAAATGCAACATACGTCCCTATACTATAAAGTATTTTAAATAAAACCCAAACACGTAAAATAACAAAGGGTAAAATTACATAAATCGTCCATATACTTTGATCCAATCTTCATTCTTCAAGTTTCAACCACAAAATAACTTTTTCGGTCTTATAATCAATGTTGGTTTAGTTGTGTTTCGATTTTGGTTGAGTTAAAAATATCAATTTTATCGTACTTATAACTTTTTATTTATTTGTTTGTTTGTTATTATTGTAAAATATTGGTGGACACATCCCGACACCCACCCAACCCTTCATATTCTTCTGTGACGAGTATGTCGACCACTTACCTAAAATTGTTGTTTCTTCGTGTTTTTTTTGGAATAACCTTGGAATCAACCACAACACAAATTTATTATTAAACACAATAATCAAAACTGAATCCAAAACATGTGTAACATCCTCGAAATGGACCTAGGAGTTTCATCCTCTTTTAGTAAAGAAAATTATTAAAATTTTAGAAATAAATATATTTAAAATTAAACACAATAATCAAATTGAATCCAAAACATGTGTAACATCCTCGAAATGGACTTAGGAGTTTCATATTTTTTTGTAAAAAACATTATTAAAATTTTAGAAATAAATATAATTAAATCATAAATTAATTAATTAATTAAAATAACTATTATTGTACAAAAATTCAATAATTAAAACAAGATTTTAAAATAAATATTCAATATATGTTTCAAAAGTTAAAAAGAAAATAAATGAGGGACTGGTTGTAACATCCCAAAAATCAAGACAAATTTTTCATTTTTAAAAACCATTTTGATAATCCATAAATCATTTAAAACATTGTTCCAAAACACATAATCGTTAATCACGCATTTGCCTTGTCTCGATCATCTGATGTACCTCAAAACTATGAAAACAAACTGTAAGTCAAGGCTTGGTGAGTTCTCCCAAGGTACCACACACAACCAAACAGATAACAACATGCATATATGAGCCTTCGGCATGATTGGACCGCCTCGTAGGGCCTACAGCCTATCAGATCGCCTCGCATAGCCTACAGCCTATATGGACCGCTCTTCGGGCCTTTGGCATGACTGTACCGCCTCACAGGGCCTACAACTTATTCGGACCCCCTGGGTATCTTGGCCTTCAACACAAAGTAGGACCGCCTCAACCCAACAAACCATAACATGTCGACATATACAATAACAATCAATAACCATCAAGTTTAGGTAATCATACAGATCTACCAATCTAACACATATACATGAACGCAAGTAATCATACCGATCTACCAGTCTAACACATAACCAATATAACATCATCCAATATACCATGATCCATAATCCAGTGGGTCGGCATTGGTGCCTTCGACCTACAAGTATAGTGAAGAAAACTCACCTCACAGTCCGAAATATAGCTGAACAGATCACTACTCCAAATGTTGTCTCTACCGGTCACCTATACAATAAACAGTGACATAAATTATCATTCAAATTACCCAAAATACCCCTAAGTCAAACTTGGTCAAAGTCAAAAAGTCTAAGGGTCAATACAGATTGAGTGTACCCAGCGTACTCAGTCACTACGTTCAGCTTAGTAAATCTTTGGCCAGATTACGGGGCCTCAGCCTAGTACGCGCAGCATACCACCAGGTACGGTTAGCGAACTCGACCAGACTCCACTTGTTGGAACCTGAAAGTGAACCTCTAGCAATCTCTAACCTTTGGAGTTTCGAAGTCAGTCTTGAATCTGAAGTGGGTTGAGGTACGAGATCAACTTATGGTTAGAGATGGAAGTTGGAGTCCGGAGTGGAGTTCATGGTTCGAAGTGAAGAAGTCTTCCGAGATTGTGTATCCGTCTAAGCATTTATTATTCTTGTCTTTTACTTGATGTAACCTTACATAGGACTTAGTCTTTTGTCAACTGGGATAATCAAAGTGTGAGAAGTAACTTGTTTATCCAGTCCTTTGTATGTATTTTGGTTTGTACGTTGTACCTCATTCTCCTTTATAAGGAGTGATTAATGACAATAATAGTAGACAAATTGTTGCTCCAAAGATAGTTATATTTGAATTTACTTCACTTGCACTTTTCACTCAAATCAAACTCTTTCAAACATTCTACTTGTTCATTTATTGTCTTTACTTTGATTATAATCATTGTTCCATATTTAATACTTGAAGTACTTTGTTGATTCTCATCTTCAGTCTCGACTGGTCTTGCCAGACTTGACTGGAACACTTAATCATAAGCAGACATTGATCTTAAGCATTAACTCAAGGTTTGAGTTTTCAATCCTTGTCCATGCACAATCAGATCCTTGTTCTCACAATTGGTATCAGAGTTTGAGTGGTTGTCCTTTGAATCCATAAGAACAGATTATAGTTGATTCGAGATTACCTTGGTATTTCGATCATTTATGTGTTCAGGATAAAAGTTCTTCTATATACCACTTTTGCTCAAGATATCTTAACTTCAATGGTTGCTTCTAATTCTCAACAAATCTATTTAATGCAAATAGCAAATAGCGTGGGTTGCCCTATTCGTGCCCCACTGCTAGTTATTGAAGAGTATGATCACTGGAAAGTCAGAATGGAAAGATTTTTACTTGGAAAAGAAAGAGGTGAAGCTATCTGGAGATCCGTTAAAGAAGGTCCACATGTTCCAGTTCGAACAATTGTTAGAGATTGTCACACCCTCGAACCAGACGGCGGAAACGTCCGGGGGCTCGTGTGACTAACAATTGAATTATCATCACAATGAATATACATGAAACATAACACATTCATTACCAACATTACATATAACAACCAGCATTGTTCACATCAAGTACATTGTTATAAATTACATAAGTTCAAAGTATTAATGGTACGATGAGCGAGGTTACATAAAATAAAACCATGCATACTTGAAAATCTTTCTGCTTAACGATTACCTGAGAATACAAGTTATTTTGAAAACGGTCAACATATATAATGTTGGTGAGTTTATAAGTATGTTTGGATAAAAGTCTTTGTATCTTTTGTAAAAACCCAGAAAATCCGATATTTTATGTAAAATGTCTGAAATTGATGTGAAAATCAAGTATAGATGCATGTGTGAATTTCGTAGTAGTAACGTATATGAATGTAGTTTAGATTTCTTTGTATTGTAAGTAAGTGATAATTGAATAATAGTATTTCCCCAGAAAATTCGATATTTTCTGATTTATAATAATGTCGAGGTTCTTGGATAATTAATTATGTTATTTCGTATTGACACAATCGAAGGGTTAATCTTCGAAAGGTTAAATTGGTATTGGATCTCTATATGAGCCGTTATAATCATACATGATAATGACTAGGTTGCCTGTCTTAACATTTTTCCAAATGCTGGTATTTGCTCAAGGTTTTGTCGCCCTAGACTGGCCTAGTCTAGCTGTAGCGAATAGCTAAGGCGTGGGGGTCACCCCGTATAGATCTATACACAAACTCTCGCTCTCCCTTCAGGAGACTCTGATTATAACTACAAGCTACAACTGTACACTCAAGGTGCCACCCGACACGTCTCACTAGATTCTCAACCTTTCGTACTATGTTTAATGTTTACATGTATGTTATGCGTTATCCATCCAAAGGTACATTTATACGTATACAAAGTTCAATAGTTATGTAAAGGTATAGTTACAATCTACTAAGCATGTGAATTTCAGTCCAATCCTAATTAGCATGTAACTGGGTCACAAAGGCCCATTAACATGTAAGTGGGTAATTTGGGCCCAATAGACATGTAAGTGGACCACCAAGGCCCAACAAACATGTGACCCATAGTTCAGGCCCAGATTAACATGTAAATGGGTCGCAAGGCCCAATAAACATGTCATGGAAAATATTGGGCTCAATATACACTTAAATGGGCCCTTAAGGCCCATTGGCCATGTAACGTGAATATTAGGCCCAACAAATTTGTTATCGTTGTATTACATCTATTTGTTATTATTTCGTTATTTGTTTTAGTTCGAGATTTACTGAATTGAATATAAAAAAGTCCTCTTTTGTGAAAACGATGTTCTTGGTCGATAAGTTTCAAAATTTTCAATTAAGGCCCAAAGTTTTGTAAAAATGACACTTTAGTCCATAATTTGTAAAAATTTGTAATTTTGTCCCAATGTCTAGAAATTCACGGTTTTAGTCCAAAAATATATATTTTGACATTTAAGGCCCAGTTTTACAGAAAATTGCATTTTCAGCCCCTTGTTTGTAAAAATTTACACTTTCGGCCCAATTTTGATAAAAGTTACATTTTTGGTCCAATTTAGAAATAATCGTTATTTTCACCCCTAAATTTGGTTTATTTACATTTTTGACTCAAACTTTGGCCAAATAACATTTTTAATCCCAAAACTTCATTTTTTTCGCAAATTTGGGCCAAAACCGTGAGGCCCAAATGTTTGGCTCATTAAGCTCAAATTTACATTTTTGGCCCTTTGGAAAGTATGTTTAACATAAAAATCGCTTTTTATACACGTAGGACCTGTTTGGTCCCTATGAGTACATAAATGTCACTTTTTGCCCTTATCTTTTGTTTTCTTGACAATTTTGACCCTTAACAAGGTTTTTGTTTTAACTTTTATTTCTTAACATGTAATCACTTTTGGCTTGATAGTATAATGTATATAGTGTCTTAGTTCATGGATCTTTACTCATTGTCACTTAGAATGTCGAGATTTAGAATTCACACAAGACATGCATATAACACATAGATCTACACATTTTACTTGTATTCTCCCCCAAAAATCATATGAAAACGGAAAACAAGGGGGGTATGAAGCTCACCTTTGCTTGATGTTTCAGTTTTTGAAGAAAGAATGGAAAGGATTTTGGTCCTAGCAACACCTTGAAGTGGAGCTCAAACTTATGAAGCTTCTAAGGGTGT